ATCCATTACAGTAACCTACTGTACAGCAGAGTGACATCCACGACTTACCCGATTTTTTAATTAATTAAACTGTATGTAGCTTTATATCATGCTTTAGTATACATGAATACATAATTTGCAATACTTATAATTGATTATTTAATTTTTTTAATTTTTAATACTATTATATCATAATAAATATTAAAACAATTTACGAATACAAATTATTGACATTTTATSTACGAAAATAGGAATMATATMATACAATACCTATTCAAGATTTTAGTTCAAAATGATTTGTTTAAGCAAGGAATATAATATAATAATTATAAAATAGGGAAGTAACAAAATTTGTCTTTTGGCAGAGTAGTCAAAAAAATATATGTATTAACTACTATTAACTATAAATACATACGACTATCGGACTATACGTCTATACGGGACACTGGTATAATAAATAATGATAGATAAAAATGAGGATTAGTATTTTATTATGTAATCCCAGAAACTACTCAACAGATTTCAATAAAAGTTTTAGCTATTGATTCCATGAGATAGGAGGGTGTTTTAAGCTTATTTTTCAACTCTAATACATAGGATGTTATATGAATTTYGTCTTGGCATACGAAAATTGAACATCTACTTACCTATTGTCCCAAAATGATCAATGATCTTACTACTGTATGAATTACTTACGAGATACCTTGTATTAAATTGTTAAGCTTTTTGACCGAACGAATAATTTTTTTTCAACATTTATAAAAAAAAATACCAAAATAAATCGAAGATAACTCAAACGAGGATGGTTTGACTTTTTGGCAATCAAGATTTACATTAAAATGTCAATAGTGTACCTATTATAATGTTAACAACATTTTTTTTTTTGTTTTTTTCTGATTATAATTTTAAAAATGTACTGAGAATTTTCAATTTTGAGTTCCAAAAAGTAAAAATTAGATCCAATTTGTTACTAAAAACCTCCACCAAATTTGATGTTCAGAGATATTTTGTTAGGTAATAGAGAAGGTTTCCTCAGAGTCCAGACATAAATTAGTCGAAGATGTACATTATAATTTTTAAAACAAATTAACTATTCTATTAAAAAATTCAGGCCTTGGAGATAAATATTATAGTATCATGATGGCTATAGTGTTAAAAATCATTAAAAATATTTATAAATTACAATTAATCTCTTCTCATCTTTAAAATTGTTCTGAATTTAAGTTTGAATGTTTAATATTGTTAAAGATAAATTTACAAYAAATTGTCAAGTATTTAAATTGTTCAACGCAGATGACGTACTACTTTGAAAATATTTCAGTTGACCTAGCTAACGACGTTTCTATTTGTAATGGTATATGTATAGATAACATATTATTTAATTCAATAACACAGTTATTATATAAATTAATCAATTATTTTATTAAAATAAATGTCAGGCATTGAATACTTTATTCGTCAGTCGCTTACTGGGAGTCGTTGCTGGTATTTTATATCCAATATCTATTATTGTCTTATTGGCGGACGCCCGAAAATCAAAATCATCATCATCTTTTATTTACAACTTCAACGAAATACAAAATGAAATTATTCGTAAGTCGTGCTCTATTGATTAATTTGTTATAAAAAACTACWTTGTATTTTTTTTATAAACCTTAATACGGCTATCGCATTTTTACTGGCTAGGTGGTGGTTTCGGTAGCGTTGGTYGTCATGTTCGTGTTAGCCACGAACACGGCAGCAGCCCCTACAGACGATGGAGATATGAATAATGTGATGTAAGTTTTTAATATATATATTCACTAATTATAATTTAATCATATAGCATTTTCCTTAATGATTGAAAAATAATACTATATGATTTATTAATTCACATTTTATAATAGAAACAAACAGTCACCATTAGAAAAACTTGACATGGAATATTGTGTAAAAATACTTATTTGTATAGAATTCCATATGAAAAATATTTTCTTTTTATTCTTTCATAAAATATTGATCTGAAATAGAGTTTCACTAACATGGTTTTCTTCATATTAATCATTTAAAAATTGTGATTGGCTCTTTAAATTAATTTTATTTTTATATATAAAAATTAAATTAAAAAAAAATTATCCTTAAAAAAAAAAATGGAGGCATTATTAACTGTTATATTATATAAACATATTTTAAAATATTTTACACAGTTTGTGATTTTTATAGTTGGAATAAAGGATTATATTAATAATGTGATAAAATAAACGTGTTCTGGGTAAATGTATGGTGTTGGAAAAAYATTAGACATATAGACACTAATTACGTCCTTATGACTTTTCAACTTGTTTTTCGATAATTTAATTATATTATCGTGAAAAGTGTTCAACACTAAGTATCTACACTAGTAGTCACAATTAAGCTAAACAGATTTAAAAAATTGAAATTAGATAAATTACGTATATAATAATTTTTATTAGATTTATTACAAAAGAATTTCGATATTTATTTAATTCTCTAATTAAATGTACTTATTCAAATGTGAATATTTTCAATTTTTATTTTTGCTCAAGGGAATGTTATATAAATTGAACATCACTTTTAATCAAAGAGTTTTCACTGATCCAAGATAAAAATATTATTTGTTCTAATGTATTATAATGTGCAAGGGTGTTCTTTAGTACCTATTTATTTTGTTGGAAATTTGGAATTGGGTTAAATAACTTTTATTTTTATCTATTATAAATGTATTTATTTATCTCTGGATTATCACTAATACTAGTAGTTAATATGAAAACATGTAAGCCATAGGAAAGAGCAAACACCTCAAATAGATACCTATTCTTAGACACACTACCCCCTGTTTATATGATACAAAAATAATTAAATATGAGGAAAAAATTGAGGCCTTGAGGGAAACCAACAGACCAACACTGGATTTACTATTGGTTCTCATTAATTTTCATGTTATTATGCAATTATATGATAATATTATAGTATAATAATAACACTTTGATTAATATGCTCAATTTATTGATTTCAGCTCACTTATTCCCTCGTTAACCAATGACATTAAACCGTATGTACAAACTTCTAGTTCTAATGGACATTACACTAAGATAAATTCCAAGCACCCACTATACGTAATCATCAAAACCGTTGTCAACTTTTTTACGAAAATTTTCTCTAACGAGAATACATTTTAAAGGCAATATCRAAGCAAGCACATACAATATTATAAGTTCGAATTTTAACCGTTCGTCTTGGAATATTAATTGTGTTTTCTTAGACAGCTTGTTTATTTCACCGCAACAATATATTATATTATAATCATGACGGGTGAAACTGTGCAATATAACAATAATATACTTAAGGTACAAAATATATTATTCTCGATTTTACATTATAATATTTACCTATTATTTTTTTCATTTACATAACTCAGAACCGATTTAAATTAGAYCGATCATTGATTATCTTTTATATTATATTCCTATTTTAAAGGTCAGAGTTATTTTAGAAAATCTCAGTGTATCTATTAGATTAGAAACAACAAGAATATAATATTATGTAATTACGACTACACAGTTTGTGTTGATTATTTATTTAAATACTACATTATGTTGTTGTATATTTTGTTTCTTTGATGTTTGTTGATTTTTTAATTAATAAATACACTAAAATACAGTTTGAATAGAAAATATTTTTGATTATGTTTATTATTATTTATGATGAGTTATGACTTTGTATRGTCYATCAGCAATTCATGATTACGGATATCATATTATATTAATATAAAAGCCAAAAGGTATATATTATACAAAATAAAGGCCATTATTGAGATAAGAAATCTATCCCCTTTCCCCTAAATGGTCAAATCTCGCTATCATATTTTCACTCATAGTTTTTATTTTTTTTTACGTCACTGAGTATTGATGTAGGTACTGAATAGTTTTCCACTGTCTTCCCCTGATTTTTTATTAACCGTTTCTAGTCTAAATATATTTGTAGAACATTAATGGAAACTATATATATCATTAATTAATACGTTCTCAAAAGAAACACTTAGCACCCCGAATTAGAAAAAAAATATTAAGCATTAATGACTTAATTTAAAATGCAATAAAAATAATATGGAATATAAAATAATGAGACGATTAATTGCATTAATGTGTGTGTAAAAAGTGTAGAATTATTCTTGGTAACTTGGTATACACATGTACGTTACACTACAGCTTTTCTAGTTTCTTCTATAGTTATAGTTCTATTAGAACATTGGATGATCTAAGGAAAGTCAACTGATATTGTCATATTGATGTTTCTCTTAAGATCAATATTAATAATATCAAAATATTAATGTAATAATATATAATATGTTAAACAATTAATTTTATATTAGTATGTTCAATGGTCATATATTATTATTCCCCTACAATATGCGCAGGAATTTGTTTTAATAATATATTTGCTATTATTATCAGCAGTGATTGTATTTAAAAATATTGAGACGAAAATATAATATAGCATTATACGATTTTCCACCAAGGTTTTATGATAAATTTAATGAAATAATTGATTTTAATAAGCTATATCAAACTTAGTCTAGAATTTTGTCTAAAGTTTTTATCACCAATTACTACAACGATTAYTACAATATAATCATAGATTAATTTTATTTTTCTAACAAATTGGTATACTTACTATAGTGTTTTCATATTACTTGTAGACTAAATTATTGCATACTTATTTATGCGAATACGATGCTTTAGTATTAGTATTCGACTAAATAAAATATTATTTTACATAGTTCGAATAAAAATATTATCGAGTTGGAGGTCAGTTTTGTACGATCAATTCACCATATGCATAGGACTTATGGGTATAAATTAATGATTTTTTAAGTATATAAGCGACGCAGACGATACTATCGATGTTTTTCGATCAGCCGATGTAGACGTCATTTGACTTAATGTGTCTACATATTTCCTTTCCAAAATTTAGGTATTTTTTTTATCGAAAAAATAAACCTTATAAATTGATACGCTCATCGTTCACCCAGTCAGTTCAGTTATTGGAACCATTACTGTTGGACATTCTAATACGCATATACCTTCATTTTTTCATTTCACCGATCAAGGAAAAACAAAATGAACACAACCACGGTAAGCCAATTATTTACATTTTACAATTTCACCAGTTATAAACAATAAACAATAAAGTAATAATATTACTATATTAATAATTTATAAATCAAAAATTGATTTTATTTTCCTTTTTTGTGTCGTYGATAATACAGGTTTTAATTTTGGCGATGTTCGTCTTCTCACAATGGTCGACCACTGATGCAGCGTCTACGTATCCGACAGAAAAACCAAAGACACCGGTGATAGCGCATCTATTGAGAAACGACTACGTCTCCGATAGCAAYGGACAGTTTAGCCTCAAGTTAGTAATATTATTAATACACTAACATACTTACAGCAATTTAATCTCATCGATTTATGGGATATTACGGTTAGGTATTTAATATCAATGGAAATAAAATAAACTCCTTGGTTATTTGTTTTTTTTTTATTATTATTATAAAGTGTTAATGGCATACAGGGTCAWCAAACTTATTGATAATATAATAGAAAATATAACACACATAATTGGTAAGCGTAAATTAATTACGATATTTAAAACAAATTAAAGTAATTTACATCGATAAATAAATAAATAATGATACAAGAAAGAATAATTRATTAAACTAGGTGTAGTATTTTCCTTTTTTTGGTTTTTTTTTTATTTATTGATATTATTGGTGTTGAGAAAGGGCATCATAAGGACGTCCACGCTTAAGGCGCCGGAGGGTAGGCTTATAATATTTTTTATTTTTTTATAAGTGCACATAAAGATAATAATATATAGTAAAATTAATACAAAAGGAGGCCATCAAAGTATCCAATGAAACGTAGAACCCTATTAACTAAAGTTATACATTATTTAGGTTAAAAATTGGGGAAGTTAATTTTAAAGAGATGAAGGCAACAATGTATTTTTTAACGTCGAACTGGGTAATCACCCTGTTCACTGGGTGAGATACTAATTTTTTAAGTTGTATTTAATTTTAAATTTCGATTAGACATTTGTCGAATAAAAAACTAGGCAAATTTAAATTTTTTAGAAAATACTTATAATAAAACACTTTTTATGAATTTTCAACACGAAACTATTTTCCAATTTTTGTAATTTTGATGAATTTTATCAAAATTTTAACTTCAGAGGCTCATAAAAATTGTTGTGTGTTAATACTCAACTTTKTTTTAATTTTCACTAACAGCAACTTTTGAGGAACGTTTTATTATATTTTCAATTTTTCGATCAAGTGAATATTTTTTTATCGACAATARTTTAAAAAAACATAAATAATAAATTTTGATATGCCTTTAAATAGCTCAAAAAGACTCGCAAAATTTCGGGATTTGATTATGCATAGAAATCGGTAATATAGACATCCAGTGAAAATGCCATGTATCTACGGTTATTTTTTTYAGTCATACATACATTAAAAACAACATCGATTTTTAAAAACTGGTTTTGTGTAAAAATCTCAGTTTTTTYTTAATTTTTTGAAAACTATTTTAATTCATTATTTTTGACTACCCAAAGTACCAATAAGAATCACTTTTCTACCAGAAAAGATATTATTTAAGAAACCTGATGATGACATCAGACAAAAAAAACACATTACAATATGTTTTTTGTTATTAGATATACGCACGAAGATCGTATTAGTGGTATATAATATACAAATTTAGATGTCGCCGCAATATTATCGAGTGCATATATACATATCGTTGATAAAAATAAAAATAAACATTACCATTTCTACTGTATACGATACGTTTAATGCATGAATATTGTAGTTTTTTTGTATAAATACACCGAGTCATCTTWTATAATAATTCAGTTAATTAACCTAACCTACATCTAATGTAACACATTGGGAAATGAATAATATTTTCAATAACAAACCTTTTATAAATTTGAAAACAAATACACAAATAAAATAATTATCCAGTAGAGTAAAGGGTTCAGTATTCACGGGATATAATCATAGTAAACATTTTTATATGAAATCCAACTCAATGTATGATAACAAACCAGTTGGATTGACAACTACAAAATTTAAACACGAAGCTATAGATAAATGCAGTTCATGAAATATGGGAGTGATAAAGGAAACTACAAAACGCACCATATATATATATATATATATATTTGATAGAAAATATGCAAAGGCATTTACACCCAATAAAAATGTATATAAGCAATCAAGTCATTAATGTAATAAATAAAATTATTTTACTTGATATTGYAATGTTTTAAATAAAATTATTTACGTTTAATAATGAGTTTATTTGCATTTCGTTGAAATTATAACCACATTTTTTATTTACAATATCTATATAAACATAATGTGGTAAAATCAATTATCGCTCCACACAGAATATAAAAGAAAAAAATTGGCTTAACAATTTACGGTAAACAATGGGTGTTCCTCGTTTGAAAACTCGAATCACAAAGACAATCCTCAAAAATAGAATTTTAATTATGTATATGTACTCGTATGTGAAAAAATTATGTCAAGTTCCTATGCCTAAAAAGTTTAAAATTTAAAATTTTGAATGAGTGTTTATTAAAGGAAAAACCCCAAAAATTTGGTTTTATTTTAGCACTTAGCATGCTTGTTGAATTACCTCAGTACTTCACACTGTAATATATTCATATAGAGTTAATCGTTGGTAAATAATAATATGTAATTATGTGCAATTTCAGCTACCAGGTGGATGACGGGACATCGCAGACCAGGCAAGGAACGTTAGTATTGAACGACGAAGGAGACGATTACGTTTTGATTCAGAAAGGTTCATATTCGTACATTTCTCCCGAAGGCATCAATGTTACGGTGACATACACAGCCGACAAGGAAGGTTTCAAGATTGTTGAATCTAGCAACGACGTCCCAGCCAGAGTGTGACTGAAAAATTCATAGTCATATTATGTCCATAGTATCATTATCATATTTTAGCAGGTTTAATTCTCTCGTGCAAATTGTAAATTGTTCATTATTATCTCAAACTGTAGTAGCAAAATATAGATAGTCGTAACGTAGAATCAACCACGTATAGATTTGAGTGTACATGTAATGAAATATATAGTTATTTATTGGAACGTTTGAAACGCATAATAAAGATTAAAAAAAATATCATATTTTTCCTTACCTAGGCATATATCATAATAATTATATTAAACTACAATGTATGTAACAAATCATGTTTAATTGTAGCACTAAATATAAGTGTATTGTAAAATACATTTTTATTATTTACATACTATTTACTTATAATAGCTTTTAAGTGGCACTTTTTTACTCTAATTTATTCTGAACACCACTAGAACATGTTAAATACAAAATACATGGATTATTGAACCAATAGTTTGTTATTTTATGGATTATAAACTTTTGATTGTATGATACTAATATAATTTTTGTTCTACTCCGTTTCTTTAGACTTATATGCTTGAAAATCATAAGATGTTGACTCAATAATAAGTTGAGCGATTGTAAATGTAGTTTGGCAATTAATTATAATCATCATTTAATCAACATYTAAATTGATAAATTGTAAACTTGGCTTCCCATTTTTAGGTATTAAAAATCGTACGTAGAGTAAACAAGGATGTGAATTTTAGTTATAAGTACCTATATACAATACACCAGATATATTGAAACTGTATGTCACAACTCACAGGGGAGTCATGGATTTGGTAAGGATCTTAAGGAAGCCTAGGCATGGAATATGAAAAAATAATAAATACATATATAAAGAGAATTAATAGGTAAGGTAACAATTAATATCATATTTTAATCTAAACGCGAAACATTTCATTTCGGTGTTCTAAATATAATATTACCGATATTATATATATTTTTATTATCTGAATATTGATATATTTATAGTATATATTATGTATGTAAAAAAACAAATAAACATATATTATATTTTTTTGTCCTAATGTCTGTTCATCCTGTTTGGATGGAACAAAATGTTGTAAAAAGTCGATAAAAGTATGTGATGAAAAGTTTGAAGAGGTGTTCCGGGCTCTGATACATACAATAATTAATAAATTGTGTCCAAATTAGTTTTATACTTGATACTACAGAGTAATTACTAATTATATTACTTAAATCATGGCTATGAGTAAGTAAATAACTCTAGAAAAGTTTTATTTTTTTTTTTCATTAATTTATGAAAGTGTATAAACTTTTTGGAATTGTATTTGCCTTATTTTTTATTATATTAAAGTTCTACCTAGGGATATAGTTGTGTAATTTTAAAATGTTTTATTTTGAAACCATTAAATCTATTCTTCATTTTCACAGAGGTATTCGATCGTTATACCTCGGTAGTTTAGTATTTTTATATTTTATAGAAGTTTATTTAGCTAAGTAAATTTTGATTTAGTGCATGATAAGATACTCACATTATATTTCGATGTCTGCAGATTAAAATCAGGTTATACATTTTATGTAATTTTATCAGCTGAACCGTACAATCAACCTTTTTCTAACATTATATTGCAAGACTTGGCTTACAATTATTAAAGTAATCCCGGACACAGTGACACAGTATATACGCTATCATTTATCTGAAATATGTGTAATATGAACGTTTTGAAAAAATATTTTGATCGAACGTATGAAATAAAAAAACAATGATTTAAAATGTTTTTATATGATTAGAAATTATTGTTGAAAAAAATACCTATTTGTATGTACTACATACCTACCTATTTTAAATACCTAATTTACAAACATTCAAAAAAGTTTTCGAATAAATTAGTGTTTTACGTTAGAAAACTACTGTATATTTTCTATATTTCTTAGTTTAAATTAAAAATAAAATATCTATAGAGCCCCATTAATATTTTACTTGCATTTTATTTTTTTTATTGCGTAATATTTCATTTATTTTGAAACGTTTATGACAAAATGCATGTAATCGATRATTATAATATAAAGGGAGAGTATTTCATTCATATTAAGCTTTTTTTTCCACATGGAACTGAAGACCGGAGAACGAACTACGTTGCCAATGATTCTTCTCATTCATATTAACGCTAAGATGATAGTTTTATTTTAAGGATCGGACACATAGAACGCGGTGTGTTGCGGCGGGCAGCTGTCCGGTCGTAATTAAATACAGAATTTGACTTTGACCGTCACCATATAATCACATATACATATTATACGAGATATCACAGCCCACCGCAACAGACCGCGTTCTGTGTGCTCGGGTCTTTAAGTGTTTGCACTTTAAATTATTATTGTTATACAAATGTGATTTTAAATTATGAATAYCTAATCTGTGTAGACTGCGCATACCAATATTTTATAATCATATAATTTAATTTAAACAATTTATCTTATATCAAATATAATTATTAATTTAATTACTAGTAGTTAATATTTTGATAAGTAAATATGATTTAAATTGTATTAAATTGCATCAATTTGCAAAAATATAATGTATATGTATATGTACGTAATATTATTATTCATTACATAGTAACATAATTCATACTTAGCAATTATAGTGTAAGTACTTATGTAAATGTGTTATTTTAATGTTATTATTGATTTATTTGGAGAGTCTAATTTTTTTAACTTAAAATTCTAAAGAAAAAWGTTTTATAATAATGATTATTAATAAATAAAATTGAATAAATACAAAAAATTAAATTAACCCAGTGCTTGAATAGAATAATTTTTTTTTTTTTATTAATTATAAAGTTTTCCTGACAAAATCATCTAAAATTAGTTAAAGAATAATTTCTAATAATTTACATTAGAGAGGCTCTTGGTAAGCTTGGTATTTGAGTCTTAATTTCGACTCTATTATATTTTTCAATTTTTTTTCACACAAGCTATGAAGCCAACATAGTTGTGTACCTACTACCTACTAATTACTATACATTAATAACTGATACAACTATTTATAATCGATTAGTATGCTCAAAATTTTCAAGAATGAACATAATTTGGTTTTGGTACAATATTTTCAGTATAAATAAACACTATAGTATGATTATTTTAATGTATAATGTTTTTAGTATTTTTAATAAGTAACAAATAATGATAAACTTATGAACATTTTATTTTAAAATGGGTGACTAATTTATAGTTATATATTCTTACATACGATACGCACTGTTGGGTATCCAAAAGGGTGAATAATCGTAGCAGAAAATCAATAACAAGATTACGTCAAAAATTTAGTKGAAAATGATATTATGATATAAATAATATAAACTATAATATTTTATCTGATGTGTAAATATGCGTATATCAATATTGATCAATTACCTACGTTAATGTTATAGAGCAGCCTTAAGTGGTTCAACCAATGATACACGGAAAACTCATTGTGTGATAGGCTAAGATAMATTTCCATTTATGTGGGAAAAAATGGGAATAGATCACATTAAATATTATTTGGTTTATTAATTTATTTGATATTATTAATAGTACCTAAACCTAATATAAGTATAAATAATAATTCTACTCATTTAAATTCTTTTGTGTGTGTTAAATACTTATATGTTATCGTCATTGTGTATTTTCTAATAAAATTAAATTCCAYATAGGTACGTGTAAAATAATGTACACATTTTTGGTAAGCAAAAAAAAAAACGTTATTTAGTGAAGTGATGATTATAGACATTTTTAAACTGTAGTATATAGGTGGTACTTGGATATAAAAATATTGAGAACCGCTGTTATAGAACATAACTCTTCATTATGAAACCGTTCTTGTTCGCGTTGTGCGGTATTTTCATGTTGAAGCCTTCAGGGGTGAAAAACGAATACGACCCCTCTTGGTTCAACACGAAACCGGTTCCATCGTCGTTCTGTGCCAGCGTTCCTTTTTTCGTCTGAGTCGTTCCATCGTAGAGCGTATAACTGAAATCCAACAATGGGTATTATTTAAGTGTGTATAATGTATATTATGTAGGTACCTACTAGCAACTGCCGTATAAAATTATATTTTAAAGACGATAATGGACTAAACGTAAATAATTATTYATCACATTTTCCCACGTAATTTTACTGTTAAAAACAACGAGACAAGTGTTTTAAATATTTTTACCAACACAGCGTGGATAAATATAATATTCCATATGTTATCATATTACTATAATAATGATAAACAATATTATATTTTAATGTATTTAGTATTAGTTAGCTTTGTAGTAGGTAATTTGTATTACACAAAAATTAATAATAGATACAATTAATTGAAATTGATTGGTAAGACAGTAATACATCAATAAGACGACGCCGAGGCTAAATAATATTATATTATATATACACTAATTAAACTGTTAAATGAAAATTGGCATTTAAAAAAAAGTTAAGTATAAGTTTAAGACACGACAAAGAATAACCACAACAATTTCAACCAAAAACACATACTATAAGTATAGTTTAATACGAGTATACTAGTTGATGGTATTAAAACAGTATAGGTAATATTATACATATGAAATAGTTTTCAACAGTTTCAATACTTGGTCTGTAATAATTCCTGCAGCTGTAAATGAACAAAGGGAGTTCATTGAAATTAGTAGATGACTAAAGTTTAAAATAATACAAAATTATGRACGCCACTGTTCGCATCGCATCTGCATGTAGTCCGTGTAGTTGGTCTAATTTTCTTTATGTATGTACTTATTTAGTTTTAAAAAAAGACAATAAACTAAAATTAATTAATTAAAATTTTATATCATAAAATATGATGGGCTACAACTCGTTTGCATTTTTTCTGGATTCATACATTGATTTTCGTAGCAATTTTACATCATTATGTACCTACTAAGTTTGTTCTAAAATTATCTTAAATTACTCTTCATGATTATGAGTGTCGTTTACTTTTATAATTGTGTTTAATTTATTAACAATAACAATTGCAGGACATTTTTGTTAGTATAGGTAAATTTAAAATTTGAATATCTACTCATTTAAACACGACATTTACTTAAATTTATAATTGCCGATATTATACTGAATCATAATTACTGAAACTGTACTAAAAGTAGTTAGGTTTGAAAAATCCGAAATGATATTTGATAGTTTGTATTACAACCTATAGCAGTACACCTATACATGTGTGTGAATGTGTCGTTGTGCATGAGCGAGTTGTGAATTTTCAGGTAAAAAATTTTGAATGTGCGTAAACGAGTTGAAGCATAAAATATGACTATTTGATTAAAAACYAGGTCAAAGTGCTACAATATTTCAAAAATTCAAGAAATCGCAATTAAATCTAAAAAATATCAAAATATGCAAAATAACATTTTTAATTTCAATTYTCTGAAYCATGAAACAAATTTTAAGATTACCCTTGCTTTCTCTTTATGTATTTTATTAGAAACATCCAAATTCCAATAAAAAAATTCCAATCATGATCATTAGTTTTTAATCTATAATTTGTTTGCTTGAGCGTCAATACAATGATAGTCAGGTTAGGTTTTTGGAATATTGAACTTTATAACTTGTATAAATCATAATTTATCAAAAAAAATACTTACGCTAGCATAAACTGACTTTTTGCATCCGAGACGCCTTCGTGTCTCACCAGATACGTTTTGGGTTTAGTCGAACTAGTTGCTGGTGCCGCCGCTGATAGTGCAYAATAATTGACTAAAAACAACGCAGACAACGCAATAAATCGCAACTGTGGAAAAAATATAAAACCATTCTATTGTAATATTGTTCCATGAGATGCAATTTTATCCACAGTGAAAAAATCTGAAATCGTAAAGGTAATACTGCAAATGCGCATTAATATTATGTGCATTACATAAATTATTATACTGTGTATTATTTTATATAGATACTAACAGCTATCTCCATTCTTATTGTGGTTGTACTTTTAAACAATTGTACTTGTTGTGCTGCTGCAGATTATTCGAGTCACCAACTGCGAGGATCTACTCCCGAACTGGGCTTTTTAAATGTTAACCAAAAACCAATGTATAGTAATGTAAATGTCTGAGATTAGTATTTATAAACACGACCAGACACCTTCGGGGTGTATTCACTTATAAATCAATTAGTGAGAAATTACAATTTACAATCTATACAGACGAAAYGCACAATGCATATACAGGGTCSGTCAGAACAAACGCATGTTTTTCAAAATGATGCTATGCTCAAAGTARTTTCAGTAAAAAATGTTTTATTATATCAAAAAATGCATACGCATATGCAGTTTATTCATATGTAACAAAATTTAGGTTTTGAAAATAATGTCAGGCATATGCCCTTGAACCACTAAGTAGGGGTGTTGGCACTCGCAAAACGATCCTATCGTGTCAATCAGCATCTGTCTCGAAATTTGTCTCACCACTTGAGTGATCTCGTCTTTCAATTCATCAAGGGTTCGTGGTTTGTATTGGTAGACTTTTGATTGTATGTGACCAACAAAAAATTGCATATTCTCAAGTCAAGGGAGCAAGGAGGCCACGGAATGTCCCCAAAACGCGAAATGARCCATATGTATGACATTATTTTCAAAACCTAAATTTTGTTACATATAAAAAAACTGCATATGCGTCTGMATTTTTTGATATAATAAAACATTTTTTACTGAAATTACTTTGAGAGTAGCATTATTTTGAAAAACATGCGTTTGTTCTGACGGACCCTGTAGTATAGGTAGGTAGTATGGTATAGCAATTAAACTAATTAAAACTATAATGTGATGAAACAACCAGTTTTTCGTAAATTTCAGTTAATTTTTCGATTTCTGTTTTGTATATTATATTCGTACATGTTATATATCTATCACCCAATGGTAAGTTATTATGTTTTTCAGATTATGAGTGGAAGAGAAATGTATTTGTTTTACAGCGAGGTGTTTATTATTTTTTTTGTTTATTTCGTGGCAGTTTTTGCCCTTTTTGATGTAGAAAGTCTCCGTACTTTTTATAACCAACTAATAATAGCAGTCAGGTAACAGAATATTTACGAAACATAAGTTTTCAACACCAATTGATTTTATTTATTGTTGGATTAAAGGAATAATATTGTAGATTTCCGAATTATTCACTAAATATTAATAATTATATAACGATTTTATAGACATGAAACGATTTTTAAAATATTTTAGCACATTTTGAGATTATTAAAGGTGGTTAGACGTTTAAAAGTACGTATTATGTTTTAATTCGCTAAAGTGTAACTAATGGGTTACTAACGTTTTTCTCGCCTGTTCTGTTATGTTACTTTTCTCGCATATGCTTATTGTACTAAATTGTACAGATTGCATATAACATGATGAAAAAAAAAAAAATGTTTTAATTTGTCCAGTTCAGAGTTCTTACTTATTTTTTTCAATATAGGTAATAAGTGTAAACATTTTTCTGTAGAATTTAAAATATTGATGATAAAATTGGAATATATTATAATATTGTCAAGTATCTAATTAGTATTGCATTTACCTATTGATTTGTTTACTGAATTCGCCTCAAYGTGGTTTCGATAACGATGAGTYGTTTTCTAGTATGACACCTGATAAGAAAAAATGTTTTGAAGAATTCGTATACTTCTGTACAAATCGATTAAATGGTATTTTAATCGATGTAAAAAGTATTATACGACACATTTGCGCTGAAAACTGTAAGGGAATTGTGTAATTTCTATAGACTGTTGTCTGTTATAATCTTGTAATTTAAAACCAGCTAAGAAGGCACTTAGTTTATTA